AGTTTCTTTATAATTTTCAATACAAGGGTGGTGACCACATCGTTGTTAAGTGGAACTCAAATTTAAGATTTTGGTAAAGGTCAAATGCTGTGTTTTAAAATATCGCGCGAACGAATTAAATCATGAATTTTGACTAAAAAAGCTGCATGGTCAATAGGTTACTTACGATCGTTCCACTTAACAACGATGTGGTCACCACCCTTGTATTGAAAATTATAAAGAAACTCGTGAATACCTCGTGAAACTTTGAACTCGAATGTAATTCTTACTTTATAACACTGATTAATCTCAGGCTTGACGATTGAAAGACCCCATCCGGGTTCGTCTGAGTGGGAGGGAGGTAAGGTGATCAATGTCGATTCCAACAACACGACATCCATTAATATTAAAAATTGAAATTCATTCTTACTGATAGAGAAGGTGGAAGATTGAGCCATCCATAACGAACCAATTCCAACACTATACCGAGCATCTGGTTTGAGACCTTCGGGAAGGGTGTACTTGAGAGTGTACGATTTTTGACCAGGAGGAGTCAAGGTAACGTTGGTGTCAAGAATATGAGCTTTCCCTTCCCAGCTTATTGTCAAGTTAATCTCATCGATGACAGTGATTCCAGGGCAAGAGATGAATTCAATTTCGATTATGTCACCGGATTTGTATGATGAATTGAAATCTATCCCGGTTGAGAAAAAAAATTTTGTTCCGGTCAATATTATAATATTTGTGGTGTCAATGATAAAACAATGGTCCACATTTATACCTGGTTTGGTAACCAAGAGACCGACGATGGAATAGGAGTCCGAAAGGGAGCCTTCCATCTTTTTTTTTTTTTTTTTTTACTAGCGCGAAAGAAAAAAAAAAAAATTCCGGCAATCGCACACATTTTTCAGTTGCTTACATTTTATTCACGCACAAATGGATTAAATGACGAGTCATGTTACGCTTCACGCACTATTTGCATGTTATGATAACTCCAAACAATGTTACATTGTACAATGAGAAATGCATTATTCGATATATGAAATTCACAGTTCAATTCCGAACTTCCGAGAACACGCACTGTAACATTTTCGTAAAAGGAAAACTCTAATGTAATGAATGACCTTGCGGATTGGAACCTTGCTAAGCCCAACCACAAAAAGAAAAGACGCGAAGCCTTAAAAAGAACTTTTGCTCAAAATGTCATGTCACCATTCAGAATCGGTAATGGTGGCTGGTGTGAAAATCCTTTCTCGGATTTATCTTTTTGTTGGAAAAAGATGCTCTCGGATAAAAAAAAAAAAAAAAACGAAAGGTTTTTTGACACGCGTATATTAGAGGAAGAGGAATGGAGAGACACGTTGTTCGCATATATTGCGAACCACGATTATCTAGGGAACGGGCATTAATTGTTTCACGTGATATGACATAGGTTCGTTAACCTTTTATGTAGTTTTGAGCACGTTTGCGGTATATAAAACAGTAGGGTAGTTTCATTCGCATTTAAACTTTCAGTAATGAGGGTGTTCATGCAGCCAGCACTTCTTGCGACAACGTTTGTCCACAGGTCAAAACCCTTGACGGTCACGATCTGGGTTCTCGACGATGCACATTCCAGTAAATTGGTCATCCAACTATGGAGTAACCTGATCGACCCACGGTGGGCAAGCAAAGATTTTAAAGAACTGAGAGGTGACGAAGCCTCGGAAGTGATAGGGCTCGGTGAGGAGAAAATGTGCCGAACATTCGAGGTCATGGTTTCTACCGACGATATTGGCGAAGGATGGTATGAATTTACCGCGAGATTCAAGAGAGAATGTGACGAGGGATGGCAGTGGATGGGCGAAAATCAGAATAGCAGAGTTTTTGTAGGAAATGTGACTCACAATGTCAAACAAAAAATCGAGACTATTGATTCAATTTTTTGTCAGAAAATTGATGATGGCAAGCGTGTCGATTATGTTTTGCAAAACAACATTGACTGTTGGTGCGTGTCAAGCGACACTAGGTTCAACGACGGGCAACCTACTTGCGTTAACTTTGGGAGAATACGCGGGGTGATTCAATTTCTTGCCATACGGAGGTCCTCGTACGTAATTATTGGTTGCACCGACATTTATTTTTATTCACGCTGCGTCAATAACCTTTCATCCTTTTAGCGTGTGGTGGACGACACCAGTTACAGGCGCCGGTAAACTGGATCTGCAAAATATGAATGCCTTTTACATATTGATACAACAATCCACCGGTCATTATGTTGTACTAATCCCCATGGTGTCTGGCGAATGCACGAGTAGTTTTCAAACGGACGGAGATGGGAACCTACAGTTGATCACCGTAAATGATGGCAGAAGTGATGGGGTTGCAAAATTTGTCATCGGTTGTGGAGAGGATCCATACGCTGTCTCACGTGCGTGTATGGAAGTGATTAAGATTTCCTTGGGGACTCGGGGAAAAATCAATGAAATAACGAATGAGCAATATTATTACGATCAACTTGGGTATTGTACTTGGAACGCGTGAGTCTTTTATTTTTGTGTGTGTTTGGGCGCGCAATATGTGTACGTGTGTTTTAAATTTTCATCAAACAACTTTATACCCTGTTGTAGATTTTATAAGAACGTGAGAGATCAATATGTAATGGATACTTTGCAATCACTGGACAAAATCGGTGTGCACGTGGGTTACGTCTTGCTAGATGACGGGTGGCAGCAGTTCAACGGACGTGATCAACTAGAAAGCCTTGAGGTTGACTCTAGAAAGTTTCCGAAGGGATTAAAAGGGTTGATAAATGAAGCCAAAAAAAGATTTCATTACTTAAAACACTTTGGGGTCTGGTGAGAAGTCATTACTTTCAACGTGTTTCCGTTATTTCCTTTCTTGAACACATGCTCCAATTCCATCATCAATATATAATACTGTCATTCAGGCATACTCTTTGGGGTTACTGGAACGGAATCGACCCTTTTTCCAAATTGTCATTCTCCTATAAAGTTGAACAAGTAAGAAAGGGTGATCAACTAGTTTACCTCATTGCTCCCGAAGATATTCAACGATTCTATCAGGACCTTCATGGTTACCTAAGAGATGAAGGTGTCAGTCTGGTAAAGGTTGATTCGCAGGGGAGCTTTGACCTGATTAACAGCGGGGAAACCAAACATCGACAATGGTGGAGGATGTATCAAGACGCCTTAAAGAAAAGTTGCAGAGAGAATTTCGAGAACAGGATAATTTATTGTATGGCCCACAGTCTCAACATCATGCAATGGATGTTGTCCGGTCCTGGAATGGAAAACTCTGGTAATACCGGCAGACCTATATTCAGGTATATAGGGTTATCCCGTTCTTTTCCCTTTTCGATTTCTGGAAATCTTTTCACGCATCTCCCCATTTCATCGCAGAAATACCGACGATTATTTTCCGGACGTAGAGGATTCGCATGCCTGGCATATCTACAGTAATGCAATGAACAATGTGTTAACAAGCATGATGTATAGCTTACCTGATTGGTAACTTTAAATTATCTTAATCCTATCACACCCATCCCCGATCATCAATTAATCAATGCATACGTACGCCATTCATTTCTAGGGATATGTTTCAGTCTGTACATCGATTCAACGAATACCATGCCGCAGCAAGAGCGATTAGTGGAAGTCCGATGTATGTCACCGATTCTCCATATAAGCACGACGTCGAAGTTCTGAACAAATGCCTTGTTAATACGCCAACCTTGGCGTTCCCGATGTCGACCAGATCAACTTTGACCCCGTCGTCATTCCAAAAAGCAAATCTGTCAACAGAATTACCTCAAAAAATCCTGAGAAATGAAAGCCCGGCCCTACCATCTCTTTCAAGCTTGTTTCAAGATTCGACGAAAAATGACAATTTGCTAAAAATATGCAACATAAACAAGAGAATTCGCGTCATTGGTCTCTGGAATTGTGGAAAGAACACAATGATTGATCAAATTTTTCTCCAAGATATATATGGTCTCGAATTTTTCGGTCTTAATGTGGATGATAACACCATCAGCCATTGTGCATACGCGGCATATTTTTTTCGGAATAAAAAGACTCTTTTGATCGATCCTCTCAACTTGGACAAACGAATTCCCGTGATGGTGCAGCCAGAGGGGTTTGAAATATTGACGGTTTCACCGATCGATGTTTCAACAGGGCAAAATTCCCGAGATGACTTCATCGTAATGATCGCATGTTTTGGATTGGTCGACAAATATAATGGGTCAAGAGCTGTACACTCGGCCGGATTTGCCATCGGGAAGGGTGGTGATGAGCCCACAAATGCGGAAGATCAAGGAGGCAGATTATATTATTCAGTCGAGCTATTTGGATACGGCGAGTGTGGGTTTCTTTTGGATGTGAAAAATGGGCAGATATCTGAAACCAGAGCTTATTTGAGAACCAAAATTCTGAATGACGAAAAGGTAAAATATGATTGGGAAAAAAAGCTAATCGTGATCAGGATGGACGAGGAGGATATGAGGGAGGATGGGTTTAGAAGTGAAGGAGAAAAGACGAATGATGACACGTTGATGGTAAAATTGACCTTGGAACTTGTAATTCGATAAGTATTACATAGATGTTTATCAAATGGATGTGTAACATTAAAACTTAACTTATTTTATCCGACTAAAAGCCATCTATCTTCACAGGAATAGTAAATTGTGTTTGAGTTTCTTGGCTGATAAACTCCTTAAAATATATATATATATACTGTATATACTGTATATATATATCTGGAGTAAAAAAAGATCTTGCAAGAAAAAGTTATCGTTTACGTAATATACGGCCATCCCTCGATTAAATCAAAAGTCACATTATTCGCACGTACGTAATTACGTAAATTGTGGTTCTCCACCACGTGCTCACTTCTAATTAAAATTATTACGTAAAAGATTTTCTGTCATATTAATATCGAGGCCTTGTTACTGGATTTCCAAAAAATCTAGCTTCGCACTACAGCCACGTGCTATAATATTGCCATAGTTCGGTAATTATGCAGATATGGCATCTGTGCTGATTTTCTCAAAGATGCATCTTTGAATTGATGATTCTATGTTACAACAGTTACCGAAATTGAATGGCGTATAAACAATTATCAATATACTGTGAACAATTATTTTATAAAATCACACATTACATTTTATTTTTTTACATTGATTTATTTGAACAGGTTATAATATTAAAAATTATTATTATATTTATTATTATATAAAAATTAATTTATAGTATAATTTAATTACAGTATAACTTAATTACAATAAAATGTTACTGCTAACATGATCTCAAACTATAAGTTAAATAAGAAGTTTACTCTCCATTAATACAAAACCCTTATGAATATAAAATTCTTTATGTACAATATATAAAAATTTTTCGATTAAATCAATATAACTTGTCTCTATTATGTTTTTATTCTTTATTTATTTTCAACAATTATTTTTTTATTGCTCACCATTGCTTAATTTAATTATAAATTTCTATCTTAAATCAATAATTAAAATTTCATAATATATTATTTTGCTTAATTTTTGTTTTATATTTATTTTATTTTAGATACTAGTTCAATCTTTTGTTAATTTTTTAGTAATTAATCATATATAATTCATTAAATTAAAGTAAATTATATATGTAATTATTAAAATTAAATTAATAATAAATTTATTTAAAAAAAAAACCATCTGATTATATATATAAAAAATATTCACAAAAAGTTTTTGCACTTTTTTGCTAATAAGATCTAAATACTTTCATTAAAACAACTTGAAATATGATTTCAAAAGTTATTTTTACTCTTTTTTTCTTATTTGCAAGCACTTTTATTCAAAAATTTAATTTCTAGTAGTTAAGAAAAATCAAATAATATTTTTAATATTAATGATAAAAAAGCTTTTAATAGAAAAAGAACTAATAATTAAGTATTTAAAAATCTTATTTAATTTTTAAAATAAATGTTTATAAAGATTTTTTGTTGTAAAAGATTTATTTTCTTTTTTTTAACTGTTTTAACTCTCTTAGAAATTTTATTAATATTTTTTTAAAAAATTTTATCTACTTTGATTTGATCTTAAATTTTTGATAATACAAATACTTGCTAAAAATAATTGATTAGCATAAAATATTTTAATTTATTAAATATAAACAAATTCCTATTGATTATACTTATATATTTTAATGATATTGATAATTAAAAAAATATTTCAAAGATATTTGTTTTTAAAAACCTAAGTTTCTTAGTAAAAACATTTATAATATTAAAAGATTAAATAATAGATAATATAAATTGCAAACAAAAAACTCTTTTCCACAGATCCATTTTTTTCAAAAAATTTCCTTTTATGATAATTTTTAAAGGAAAAGAAAAGGTGAACAGATAAATGCCTTTTCAAAAAAAACTTCATGGCAAAATGACCCAATATAAGCTTAATTATAATGAAATATCCTTGCAAGAGATAATACAAACAAGTCAAATAAATGAACAACAATGTAAGCAGCAAAGAAAAACACTTTAAACAAAGGAAAAGCCAAAGAAGACAATTAAAATGAAACCTGCAACAAAGACTTCAACAATTAATACTTGTCTCAGAACCTAACAATATAAGCCATAATATTTAAATTGTCAACAGTAACTAATTAGACTATCAACTAAAGTAATGAAGTCAAAGAAATATCATGGCTACTAAAAACTCAACAGTAAATCAACCCAACAATTAAAGATGGGTTTTTAAAGGGGGAGGCAAGAATAAAAGTCAAATATTCCTTACTAGTAAACATTAAAATTTTTAAATTAATAATTATAAAAAACTATTTATAATTGTTTTTTATTATCCAAATTATTTAATTTATAGCATTTCTTGACTTTTGTCTCTATTAAAGTAAAGAGCTATAAATTTTGTTTCTCAAAAAGAGACATAAGTGATCTGTAAAATTTTATATACTAAATACTTTAGGGATCCATCATTACCAACAGCACCCTAACAACATCAAATATGGAGACGCAAGAAGAAGTCTCTCAAAAACTAACTAGAGAGATATAAAGAGTAGTACATATAGACAACTTAGACATAAAGATATGGATAAAAGAAGACCAACAAGTCTTAACCTCACACTAATAATAGCCAATAATAAAAGTAAACAGAAAACAGATAGTCAAACAACCAAGCCAAGATCCTTCTTCTCTTTTGATAAAACTATTTACTATGACAGAGAAAAAACCAAGATTGATATCCCTACCATGGAATTGTTAGACAAAACTATAGCTCAAAAAATAACTTTTCTTATTAAGGCTTTAAACTCATCAGAAGAACTGATGACAATCTGAAGTGAAAAAAAAAAAAAGAGGTAAAATATATTATCACTATTTTAAATAATAAACAAGAAGTAATTGAGATTTGCAACAATCTGCTACCTGATACAGACAACAAATATATAGATCTCATAGAATATACAAATTCAGTTCAAAAACAGAAAAACAGTATCAGAGTACAGAATATCTATTGAACACAAAACTCATAGAAATGCAACAATCTTTTACTAAATATAGAGTGATTAACAAAATTATAATATTAATACAATAGATATGGCAGACAATAACAATTACTTATATAAATAAAGAGGATAAAAATACTCTAATTAAAAAATGGAGTGTCCTCTCAAATCACACTCCATAATAGTTTTGATGTATAATAGAACGTGGATCAAATGAAAGCATATAGACAAACTATAACAAAACTTACTAATCTTCCACTCAATATCACTATATTCAATCTAAGAAGAATTTGTAAACAAATCAAGATTAAAATCTACTACATATTAAGAAGGAAGTCATATTAAAGAATAAGATTTACAGTCATTAGCTTCATTAGTCAGGAAGACTTAGAAGCTATCACATTTCAAGAATTCCAACTTAGAAACTTCAAATATACTTGAAAACTAATTGAAACTAAACTACGCATAATCTGCGACAATTCAGATTACCTATTCAATAGCTGCTCAATTAAAGAAAGAAGAATGCAATAGAGGAAATACAATAAAGAATAAGCAAACAAGTTTTGAAAACTATATAACAAGTTCAGATTAATATGTACCACTTCAATCAGAAATAAAACCAAAACCCATAACACTATTATATCAAGCCAGGATCTTATATAGCAACTGTCAAATCTGAATAATACCAAGTAAATCAGGCCCAAGAGAGCATTCCAACACTAGTTGATGTCATGACCTTCCTATAAAAAATTAAATAAGAAATCAAAGAGATTAAAAAAAACATTATTAACTTGAATGAAAGAGTATATAACCTAAAAGTTCTAGAAGACAACCACTTAAATACTATAATAATTGAAAATAAAGAAGAAGACCTCTCAAATCAAAACAAGATTCTTACTTTACAACTAAATAAGAAAGAACAACTTTAACATCTGAGCTTAACAACAACAGATTCATGAGCCTATAAGTAGAATAAATTAAAATATATACAAGGCAATAAACACAATCTCAAAACTGATTTCTAGTATAGTCTCCTTTCTCTCTAAAAATCATTAATGAACCATACATCAAAATCCTTTTCACTAGAAAATTCAATATACAACAACCATGATATATAATTAGAAAAGATACTTAAGGATACACAAAAACAAACTTCATCAAACTTCACTATTCATTCAAACAATTATACATTAGAAGATAATTCTAATAACATCAATCCAATAATACACATATAAATAGATATACAATATTCAATTTGATAAATCACAACTTTAAATATTCAAGGCCTAATAAATAAATACATGAGAGAAATTTGATTCAATTGATATGCAATAAAGAGTTGAGATATTATAGTAATAATTGAGATCAATGATATCTATTAACAATCAAAACATAGGAAATATCCCTTTTATAATATAAATTGATTATACAATAATGAATAAATGCTTGGACAAGGTTTAAACTTGATAATTAAAAAAGACATAATAGATTATATCTATAAATACAATACCTGGAAGGAAAAAATTAATTCATACAGATCTTGCCTTTCCCAAGAAACAAAAACTCAAAATCATAGACATTTACTTCCATACAAACAAGAGAGACAAAAAATATCAAGACACTTTTAACAAACTGAAGTAATAAATAAAAAAAGCTCTACAAAAGAACTGGCATTTTCTTATTCTAGGAGATCTCAACAGAGTTTTCAACTCAGTATAGGAAAAAAACAGCATACATAAACAAATAATATCTAACAAATTGACAGATTCCCAAATAGAGACACTCATGGGTAATTATAGCTTAAAGAATATATAAAGACTCCGCAACTCAAGCAAAAGAGAATTTACATGATACCAGAATGATAGCAGTAACAGAATTAATCAAATTTGGATAAACATACTTCTATCCTGGCAAAATAGAAAAGCCTAAATTGGGAAAGCTCTAGACTCTTTGATTTTCAATAATTATAAACCCACCATAACTGAGATAGAAATATAGTAACTAAACTCACACAAGGAGATTTTCTATTATTAGTCAAACTACAGGTATAACTGGTAGCTAGTCAACAATGAACAATGGA